TGATGTAGTTTTCTTTCTTTCTTTCTTTCTTTCTTTCTTTCTTTCTTTCTTTCTTTCTTTCTTTCTTTTTTTTTTTGCGGCACCAGGGATTGAATTCAGACCCTTGTGCTTGCCAGGGAAGCGCTTATTCTACTGAGCCATCTCCCCGGCCTCCACGGTTGACTTTTGATAGCAGAAACTACCAAACATGAAATGACAGTGCAGGACAGAACTACTGAATCGCAACATCTTATCATTCCTGCCATTGTCAACATCCAAGACAATTCTGTTCTCTAGTGTAATGTCTCCAGGACACTGAGCTAGTGAAGACCACAGAAAGTACAGGCTGTTTCCCATGAGCCTCTGGGCACAACATTTTATGAACTGAGCAACATACAACCTTATTTCATGTGTATCTCTGTTTAAAGCCACCTTTAACCTGCAACCTCAGCACTGGGAAGGCTGAGGCAGGAGAATCACTGTGAATTCTAGACTGTGAATTCACTTAAAATGCATAGTGAGCTCAAGACCAGACTAAACAAGAAGAAAAAAATGACTCCTTATTTAATATACACTGTTGATGCATTCACAGTGTACTCTTGGCCAGCACACTGAGAACAAGGAAGTTGCCAGCAAAGAGCACAAAACTGAGAAACTGTGGCAGCAAACAGATGGGAAAAGGACCCTGGTTCCTTTCTTTTTGACACTGGGGATCGTACTCAGGACCTTGCACTTGCCAGCCAGGTGCTTAAGCCGCTGAGCTATCTTCCTGGCCCAGACCCTGCTTTCTAACATAAGAGCTGAAACAGGAAGGCAGAATGTCACCTGGTGCCACCCACCTCGTACCTCTCAAACTTTACCAGTTCAAGTTCTGTGAATAACCACAAATCACTGCAATAACTGATTTGCAGGTTATAAGTAAATTCTTGCAAATAGGCAAATTCCTAAATTTGAAATCCACAAATAACAAGGGTTGACTGCTTTAGCTATGATTAAAGGCTTCATTTGGCCTCTGGCTCTGACTACACTCAAATATAGAGTCTTCCACCACCTACTATCCAGCGCAGGGCCTTGGCACCTGCCAGGATTCTTCTAGTAGGGTCCCCAATGCATCACCCACCCTCTGTCTTAGAAGAAAAAAGAGCACTGACTTACAGGGCTCTCCACGAGTCTGTGCTTCCACCATGCCAGGACTCCTCGCAAGACAATAGTTTAATGACATGAGTTTATCATGTGTCATGCAGCTGTGAAAGTGCTTTATCAATCCTAGATTAATTCCTGTGATGTAGCACAGTTATTATTTCCACCTTAAAATTTATTTATCTGAGAGTCTCACTGTGTAGCTCAGATTGGACTTGAATTCACTATGTTGACCTGGGTTGGCCTTGAACTCAGGGATTCTCCTGCCTCAGACTCCCATGGTGGGATTACAGGCATGCATCACCATGTTGGGCTTTATTATTTGAATTTTACAGATGGAAAAACCAAAGATAGCGTGGTGGTGCATGTCTGTAAACCCAGAACTCAGGAGGTTGAGACAGGAGGATCGCTGAGAGTTCAAGACCAGCCTAGTGGCTACAAAAGTGAGCACAAGGCCAGCCCGAATTGCATAGCAAGACCCTTCTCAAAAAAGAAAATAAAAGAAACCAAGGTCAACACAGGTGATGAGATGAAGCAGTGGCAGAGCTGAGATTCAAACCCTCAGTGGGGGCCAGCAAGATAGCTCAGGGGTCTAAAAGGCCTGTTTAGGCAAACTTAGGCAGGCACAGGAGACCAAGGTTTTATCTCCGCACCAGGCACAACATGCCACACCAGCCCTGTCCTCAGGGTGGGCTGAGTGCACAAAAAAACCCCAAACAAACCCTCAGTCGGTGTCCAAGTTTGATCACTGATCCTCTCCACCCAACTATGGGCTCCTGGAGGACTGAGGCCTTCTCTGCTTTTCTTCGCCTTTCTACACAGTGCCCAGCTCTGAGACTGGCTCACGCCTGGAAATGTGAAAACATTCAGATTTAAACATCTCACCTTTGCCTTTGAGCTTGTCCAGGGCTGCAGGCTGGCCACCTACCAAAGCAAGGAACTCAGCTTCCAGTTCCTCATTGTTAACTCCATCATTGGGGATCATGAGGCTGTCTGGGGAGAGGTCAACTAGCAGTCCAAGCTGTGGGAACAGTATGGTTCCAGTTAGGATGTACCCTGTGGCCAGAAGCAGCCATAATGGATCCCAAGTACCCAGTGAAAGGAAGGAACCAAAGTCTCCTGGCACAAGCTGTTTCCCTGGGGAATGCCAGGAGGCTGTATCAAACTGAATCCAACAGGTGTCTCAACATGGGCCTGGCTCCTTGGCACAGATCCAATGAGGCAGAAGGCAAGCACAGAGACTCAGTTCTCTGCTGGGAGCCTGCACCTAAAATGCACTGGTAGTCAAGTTCACTGGGAAAGTAGGCCTCACACCCGCCTTAAGCAGAGCCAGCCGGCACACCTTGGCTTTTCCTCCCAGCCTCCCCTGCGGAGGCAGCCAAGCAGGAGGTGGGGCATCACTAGCAATTAGAATGCCCAACAATCTAGAAGTTGGAAGTAGCTCATGGCTGTGTGGATCTGTCTCCTCCCACTGATTAATGATCCATCACGATGGGATAATATTATGTGAAACTGTGAGGTCAGGTGTCTAAGGTGTAAGGGCAAGAGAGAACACATAGACTCACAGCTCATGCTATGCTGTGGACTCCGTTCATCAAAGCTACAAATGCTCAAACTCTAGCCAGTATCTGGGGAGGGGAGTTGGGCCACAGTGCTCTGGGATTAATGGATGCAGCTCTGGATTTGCCCTGAGCTCTGGCCAGTCTGTTAATCTCTATCACCTTCCACAGATGCCTTCACCTCTCTTGAGCCTCAGCGTCTTCATCTGTACAATGGGCATAAGAGTGTGAATTGGGGAGGCATTTGCCTGGATCTGATTATTGCTCCTCCCTCCCTGAAGGTGCTATGACAACAGGTGGTCCTGAAACGGGGACGGGGCGCCAGCAGCTGGTGGGGCGGCAGGACCCCTAGGCCACACCTTGGGAAGCAAGACTCATTTAGAAGGCGAAGACCCCAAGACCTGCTCAAAGGGATGGGGGCGGAGATCAGAGACCCTGGGGGGTGGGGCCCTCCCAGTGCGTACAGGGGTGGAAAGGAGCTCCCCGGTGAGTCCGTGGGGCGCACACTCACCTGGCGGGCAGCAGCAGCACCTCGGCCTGGGGGTCCCGGGGGCCCCTTCCTCTTGTGCATTTTCCAGGCTGGATGCCCAGACCACCGGCCCCTGCTCCTGGCCTTGCCCTGTCTCTTTACTCTGGGACTGTCACTCGCGCCCTTCCCGAGTCCTAGGCCCTTCTTCAGTGTCCCGCGTCCGTCAACCCCGCTCCCTAGTTTCACCGGGTGGCTGCCCCACTTCCGCCTTGGCCTTTAGTCGCCGCCGAACCGGAGCTCGCCACCCGTGGACTCGCCGGGCCCGCCTCGGTGAAACTACATCTCCCGAAAGGCCCTGCGTGGATGCGCATGCGCCTGATGGAGGTGCGACGGGAGCTGCCAAGGGCTGCGGGAAAGGAAATAGAGCATGCGCAGATGTGAGTCGCCAGTGCTGGTATTGGGCGTGCGCGAGTCGAGTCGGCGTGCGCGAGTCGAGTCGGGGCGTCGCGTTGCGCGGGAAAGAGGCGGGGTGTGGGCGCAGGTGGCCCGGGGTCTTCTGAGCTGGAGCCCACGCAGTCTTTGGTCTCGCCTCGGTTCCTGAGTTGGGGAATCTGCACCTCCAGTGGTCGTAGTGTTAGTGTGGGGCTGGTTTCTAGTACCCTGGTCCACAGTTATGGATTTTGGGGGGGGGGGTTCACCAAAGTTCAGTGTTACCATTTTCTTTTTTCTTTTTCTTTAATTTTTTAACATTTTTATTTATTTATTTATTTTTACCATTTTCTTAAAAAAAAAAAAGTAACAGTAATTTAAATGACTTATTCCTCAGCAGATCCACACAGACCTCGTTCCTGTCAAGGACAGAGAGGGGGAACTTGGACAGTTTCTGTGGCCCAGGTCGGTTGGGGCCCCTCCGGTCCCCAAGGCAGGAAGAAGCTGGGCACTGGCGACTCCCAGCCCCCCAAGCCCCCGGGCACCCCCGGTGGACCCTTCAGTCCTCAGATAACTTCTCCAGAGGAGTCCTTACGTGTCCCCAGAAGGTCCCAGGACACTCCAGCCTGAGGAAGGGGATGTCTACTGGCCTGCACTGACCCAGCAAGCAGAGCCGGATCCCCAGGCTGCCCCACAGCGTGGAGGATGCGCCTCTGTTCTCAGCCAAGGCGCTGGACACGGGGACTGCTAGTTATAATGGAGATTCTGTTATTTTCAGATTTCTCAAGGGAGAGATAGAATGAGTAAGAGGAAGAAGCTTCGAACCGCAGGTATTTGGTTAAATTGACGGTTTTTCCTTTCCTTTCCTTTTTTTTTTTTCTCCAGTGCTGTGGATGGAACCAGAGGGCTCACTTAGGCTTAGGCAAATGGTCTACCAGGGATCTGCATACCCCAGCCCTAAATTGGCACTATTTTATTATTTTTTTTTGAAGAGACAGGGTCTCACTATGTTGGCTCAGGCTGGCCTCAAACTCCTAGGCTCCAGTGATCCTCCTGCCTCAGCCTCCTGAGTAAGACAGCCGGGGATTAAGTCAGCACTTCTCAATTGCTGTGTCTGGCACATGGGAGGGTTGTGGGCCTGTATGTTGCAGAAATTCTAACCTTACTACCTCAGTGTCTGTAAAAGAAAATGAAGTACAGCCTAGTAGGAAAATTACAAATTATACACAAGGGTGTGATGCAGTAAAAAGCGGAAGGTTTTCTTTCACCACCGTGGGTCCCAGCTGTACCATATCGTAGATCTTGATGTGCTTCAAGGCCATCTGTGGCCTGGTTAAGCGTTCCCCTCTAGAACCAAGTTTTTTTTGTTTAGCCAGGAAGATAGTTCAGCAGCTTAAGTGCCTGCCTGGCAGACAAAATGTCCAGAGTTTGATACTCAGTACAAAAAAAAAAAAAAAAAAAAAAAAAGAAAGAAATTTCATTTGTTTGTGCTAACTCTTCTACACACTTTTTTATTAGTACTGGGGATTGATCCCAGGCCTTTGGCACTTCCACAGTCAATTTTTAATTTTTAATTGTGAGACAAGATTTCAAGTTGCTAAATTACCTAGGCTGGGATTGAACTTTATATCCTCCTGCCGCAGCCTCCTAGGGTAGTGAAATTCCAAGTATGTACCACCCCCACCAAGTAGATGTAATATGCAGAGCCGGTGCTTTTATTGGAAAACACACACTCTAGTAATCTGCACCTTGCATTTTTTAAATTTATTTTTATTTTTATTTATTTATTTTGGTGGAACCAGGGATTGAACTCAGGCCCTTGTGCTTGCCAGGGAAGCGCTTATTCCACTGAGCCATCTCCCTGGCCCCTAAGGACCATGATTTTTGTTTAGCCAGGGAGATAGTTCAGCAGCATAAGTATCTGCCTGGAAAAGAAAAAGAAATTTTGTTTGATTGTGTTTTATTTATTTTTATTTTATTTATTTTTGGTAAACAAGTGTGTGGTGGTTTTTTGTTTTTGTTTTTTTTTTTTTTGAACTGGGGATTGAACTCAGGCCCTTGCGCTTGCCAGGGAAGCACTTATTCCACTGAGCCATCTCCCTGGCCCCACCTTGCATTTTTTTAACTTGACAATATATTGTGATCAGTAGTATGTGCAGAATTTCTTCACTTGAAGTCTGGGTGTGGCCCAGGGGTGAGGGCTTGCCTAGTATCCACTGCCCAAACAAAATTTTGAAAAACACTCAGTATTATCTACGGTGACTTGATGGTTTCCCTGTCACTAAGTTAAATAGCTAGAAATAACTTCTTGGGCTGGAGATATACCTCAAGCGGCTTAAGCGCCTGCCTGTCAAGCTCAAGGTCTTGATTTTGATCTCTGATACCACACAAAAAAAACCTTCTTTACTTAGCAAGTGATAAATTTAAAGTGCTGTTTCTGTTTGCCCTAAGATGTGAAACAGGAGAAATGTTAACTGATAAAAACATGTTTTGTGTAGAGGTAAGGCACAGGCTGCCTGAGATGCAGGATGTCTCTGACTTCTGAGGGGAAAGCTGAGGACAGCCAGGCCCACCGTGACAGGTCTTCTGGGGCCTCTCTTGGCTTGGTGGACTGTGGGCTGGCCCTGGACTCCACAGATGGACTGGGAAGGCAGGCTTTCCCTCCCGCAGCCTTAGCCTTTGGTGTTGAGCACAAGGCTTCACCTTATTTTTTCCTCTATAAATCCCGCAGGGACAGATCACAGGAAGGAAATGGAAGACACTCTGCTCTGTTGATATTTTTGCTCTTTACTTACTACAAATGTCCACAGAACCAGCCAAGCAAGCTGGTGTTTGGGGATTAATCTTAAGGAACCAAGTAAATAGAGCTGCTCTTTTTGTTTTTGCCTTTTTCTGACAGACCACCGGGTGAGAAGCTGTTGTGTAAGAAACGTTCATGGGGTACTTCCTGGGGGCACAGCGCTTGCTAGCTGTGGGTTGTCAGGCGGGAGCCTCGGTTCCAGCACTGGAGCCCTTGAGGTCCGTTTTGTGGGGAAGGAAGATGCTTCGTGTGGAGACAGCTAGCCAAGTAGTCAGCGGTGGGATGCTGCTTTCAGTGGGCACACGTGAAGGGAAGATCAGAATTGGAAATGACTGGCGGCTGGAGGTTCCGCTCTACTGCCACCCCAGCCACTCTGGAGGCTGAGCAGGAGACACTGCTCTTTTTTTTTTTTTTTTTTTTTTGGCGGAACAAGGGATTGAACTCAGGCCCTTGCACTTGTCAGGGAAGTGCTTATTCTACTGAGCCATCTCCCCGGCCCCTACACTGTGCTCTCTCAATACTGAGGTCAATCTCAGCAACTTAGTGAAACCCTCTTTCAAAATGAATAAATAAAAAGGGCGTTGGAAATGTAGCTCAGTAGAGTGTTCACCTAGCACATGTGAGAGCCTGGTTCCCTCTCTAGTGGTGGGCATGTGCCCATGCACACACCTACACACAACATACACAGTAAGTGTGTATGAGGCTGAGCTTGGAAAGGATTTCTTAGACTGAACCGCAGGAAGGCATTGTGTGGGATTATTCATCTTTTTGTTCTCTAGGGGGCCTGGCCCTAGCTCAGTCTTTAAGTGGCTGCTTCCACAAAGCTGTCAGCCTCAGGTTCCTGGAGTTCGAACCTCACAACTCTCCCGCTGGCCAAAAGTGCCCTGAAGGCATTCGAGGAAGGAAAAAAAAAAAAAAAAACCCTCATCTTTTTGTTCTCTTGCCTAGTTAAAAGCCCAGTCCACAGTAGGTGCTCCATAAATGCCCCAGGACTCTTCAATCTTTGGGCCATGCATTGAAGTGGAATCCAATCTTGGTTCTGTGACCTCATATGTAAGGGGGTGTCAGAGTTTCTTTACTTCAGAATTTCATCAAAACTCACACCAGTTGCTAGGTGTGGTCGTGCACACCTATAATCCCAGCCCTTGAGAATCTGAGGCAGGAGGGTCACTGCAAGATTGAGGCCAGCCTGGGCTACATAAAGAGACCTGAAAGTTAAGACAGAGTCTCCCTATCTAGTTCAAACTGGTTTCAAATTCATGGCAGTCCTCCTGCCTCAGCATCCCAGATGGTGGGATCACAGGTGTGCACCAGCACACCCAACTATTCTTATACATAGGAGAAAGTCAGGCCAAGGTGAGCTGTTTCCCAACCATGACTATAGTTTCTGCATAGGAGATTTCTTTCCTTCCACAAACAGATATTAAGAAGCCCTGTTGGGGCTGGTGAGATGGCTCAGTGGTCTAAAGCACCTACTTAGAACAAGCTAAGCTAAGCAAAGCACAGGGACCGCAGTTCAATCCCCCAGCACCACATACCAGCCAGCCCCCCCCCCTGGTGGGCTGAGCTGGCCACACACACACACACACACACACACAATAAATAAATAAATATTAAAAAGAAGCCCTGTTATTTTTACTTTTTTTGTTTTTTTGGTACCAGGGCTCAAACTCAGACCCTTGCACTTACCAGGCAGGCACTTATGCTGCTGAGCTCTTACCCTGGTCCTTATTTTTACTTTTTTATTTTTTGTAGTGCTGGTGGTAGAACTCAGGGCCGTGCACATGCTGGGAAAGTACCACTGAGCTGTCCCTTGGCCATAATAACCACCTTGAAGCTGTCACAGGCTTTCAGTGGTCGGATAGAGAGTGAGGGGCACAAGGGACTGAGTGGTGGCAGAGGCAGCCCCTCAGTTCTCTGTGCCTCTGTCCCACTATCCTGCACAGCTGCTCTGCACATGTCGCAGGAAATGGACATCCAGTATGATGTGTGCTGCCCGCACCTGGTGATGGCGTTTTCTGTGTGCATTTATGTGGTTGTCTTGTGTGTTTAATCGAGCACCAGCAGTTCTCTTAATGTGCCTTAGCCACTTGGGGTCCACAGGAAAAAGAAAGCAAGAGGCTGCGTGTAGCCAGTGTTAGGGTGCACAAGAGCTGACCCCAGATTTCCAAGCCTTCCAGAAAAGCTGTGGAATGATTAGGACAGAGCTGGGGCCAGGCAGAGAGACTCTATAGAGAAGCCAGGGTGGCCTCTTATATCTGCCTTGCGCCTCTTGCCCCCTTGGGATTCTAGCTCAGTCCTGGCACAGGTCAGGAGTCCTGAAGCCCATGATTGTGTCAGTGAATAGATCTCAGTCCTGGGGGGATGCCCACATCCTTTGCCTGCCACATGGGCAGCAGAGAGGGTCCCAAGCCTGAGGGCTGTGCCTGCTTGGGCATAACACACCAGTGGCCCCTTCCTATCGAGCCAGCAGCTCTCAGGGACAGTACATGGTCTCAGTACCTCCACCCCTTCATCTCTGTCTCTGTCTCCAAACCAGGAATCCATCCCCCAAAACCTCCCAAGAACCCACAGCCTGGAGATTCCAATGGGGACTCCCAAAGCTCCAAGCTGGGTGGCTTGCCACCCACCAGTGAATCAGAAGATAGCCTGACATCTGCTGCCCCTGCAGAGCCCAGCAGGCAGGAGCCAGGGCCGGCCATCTCCAGGTGAGTGGCTCAGGTGTTCCAGAAGGCCTCTCATGCAACAGCTGTGGCCACAGGAGTGGGGGGCCCTCTTGGGCTGAGGGCTGCACACCTGTTGCTCTGGGCTTTCCTCACTGTGAGAAAGGTTGCGATTTGGACCACAGGTATAGACAGCATTGAGTCATGCAAGGTCTTAGTGTACAACATGATACTCCACCATCAAATCCCTACTCTTCATTTCTTCTCGGTAAAAAAAAAGGATGTGCCATCTGGGGGTGGTAGTATAATCCCGTAATCCCAGCACTCTGGGAGACTGAGGCAGGAGGTTGAAATTGAGGTCAGCCCGGGGAATTTAGCAACTTCTTCAGACCCTGTCTCAAAACAGTAAAAGAAGAGTTGGGGACAGAGCTCAGTTTAAAATTCCCAGTTAAAAAAAAATACAGTGTTTAATGGGCAGTGTACTAATAAGCACTTTCTCGATATTAGCTCATCAAGTCAAGGCACTATAAGATAAGGGGTTTTTTTTTTTTTTTTTGGCAGAACTGGGGATTGAACTTGGACCCTTGCGCTTGCCAGGGAAGCACTCATTCCACTAAGCCATCTCCCCGGCCCCAAGGGTTTGTTTTTGCGGTCTTGGATAGAGTGCAGGGCAGGTGCTAGACCAGTGCCCTACCCCTGGGCTCCACTCCCACTCGGTATGAGTGTGGTGACGTAGCTGAGTGTGGTGGCGCATGCCTATAAGCCCCACACTCGTGAAGGAGGCAGGAGGACCTCTGAATTTGACACCAGCCTGCCTGCGTAGTAATGTTCAAGTACAGCCTGAAGTATATAGCAAGATCCTGCCTCAGACCAGTAATAACACTAACAAAAGATGCAAAGTAACAGTGTAGGAGGACCTGGATCCCTCTCCATTGTGCTTTTCTCTACCTAGCTTGCCTCAAGAGGAGACCATAGCTACCTCTTTCCTGGGACAACCAGAAAAAGAAGCTGCCCCCCTCCCTGCTTCCCAGGTGAGCCACTCTGTAGCCTGCTGTGTATCTGAAGAACCATCCAGAAGTGCAGGTGCTGTGTGTCGTGGACAACTGCTGGCCTGCAGGGTGCAGGGATGTGCACAGACGGGGAGGGCGGGTGTCTGAGGCTGCAGGAGGGGAGTAGCTCAGGCTTGCTTTTTTTCAACATTCTTCTTTACCCTTACTGCTGTGCTCTCCTGTCCCATTCACAGACCTCTCTCGGAAGATTTGTCCCTCAGTTTGCAAAACCCAGGAAGACAGTGACAAGAAAAGCAGAGATAAGAGAAGAGGATCCAGAGAGGAGGGCTGTTAGCCTGGTAAGACCCTTACTATGAGAAAAGAGGATCCAGAGGGAAGGGCTGTTAGCCTGGTAAGACCCTTACTGTGGGCCTGGCCAAGTCCCATGTGCAGGCAGATTGTGCGCCCAGTTTCACATCAGCTGTCTTGGCAATGGACAGCTCTGCTGGGGCCTCACACACGTAGGCCAGAACTCTACCACTGGTCTTCACCCAAGCCCCTTTTATTTTGAGGCAAGTTCTCACTCCGTTGCCCAGGCTGGCCTTGAACTTGTGATCCTTCCACCTCAGTCTCCCAGTCACTGAGATTACACTGTGTACCATTGCGGCAGGCCTGAGCCCTCCATTTTTAGCACACCACTGTCCAGATCCCTGTGGCATGTGCCCCGGATGTTGTATGTGCCCACACAGGGATGGTAGAACCCTGAGAAGCAGCTATTGCTCTGTCTGTGAGCCTTCTGCTTTTCAGGATCCTTTATGCCACTCAGATGCCCTCATTGTCATGAACAATGTCCCTGAGGGAGTGGGTAGTAACGTCCATGCACCAGGGATACCCCAGATACCCTTCTAAAGGTCTGTAGTCAAATGAACTGTGGTTCATCTGTGCCTTTGGCCAGGACTCAGCAATACAAAGCAGCAAACTAGTTAGCAGCACATAAAATGTGTAGGTCAGATGAGAGGTTGCCTGGGTCAGGGGCAGGGTGGGCAGGACACAGGAGGGGACAGGGCCTCTGGGGTGACCATGGTGATGGAGGTGCAGCCCTCCATGAAGAAGAGGATCACAGGCAGCAACCGCACACTGATGTGGGCCCATGCCTCCGGGTCTGAGTTTGTACAGCTTCTTTTTCTTTTTCTTTTTCTTTTTTTTTTTGTGTGTGTGGAACTGGGGATTGAACTCAGGTGCTTGTGCTTGCCAGGCAAGCGCTTATTCTACTGAGCCATCTCCCCGACCCTGTACAGCTTCTTAGCACAACGTGAACCTGCAGCAGTCATACAACAGAAAAGTGTAGCTTAACAAAAGGAGATGTGTGTCACTGTGAATCTAAGCTGTGTGGGACAGGAAGTGGCATGTGTATTTTACCCCCATTTCTTTCTCTTCTTCCTCTTCTTCCTCCTCTTCTTCCTCTTCCTGCTCCTCCTCCTCCTCTTCCTCCTCCTCCTCCTCCCCCCCCCTTTCAAGACAGTGGATATATTTTAATTGAACTTTTCAGTTTCACAACATGAGGTAAAAGGAAGTACAGCTTTTCTTAACCAGTATTTCACACAGCTATAGTAAAATACTTTAGACTTCAAGGATTTATAAGGAATTACATTTCTTAAAAAATGTGATCAAGGGGCTAGGGAGATGGCTCATTGGAATAAGCACTTCTCAGGCAAGCGCAAGAGCCTGAGTTCAATCCCTGGTTCTGGAAAAAAAAAAAAAAAAAAGTGATCAAGTAAGTTTTACTTAACTCTGAAATTTCCAGTTGATTCTTTACAATAATAACAAGTTCTAGTTACATAATTTTATTTTATTTTATTATTATTATTATTTTTTTTTTGGTGGAACCGGGGATTGAACTCAGGCCTTGCACTTGCCAGGGAAGCGCTTATTCTACTGAGCCATCTCCCCAGCCCCAGTCTTCAGATCTTAGGTCCTGCTGTTTCGATCAATATCCACTAATTCTACTTCAAAAATGAGTTTTGCATTTGGCAGAATTTCGGCATCAGGCTGTCCTTTCTTTCCATTAGCCCATTCTGGTTCGATCTCCTGTCGAGCCTTTTCACCGTTACTCAGAGTCAAGAGAGCCTCATGCCATCCTCTGATAGCCTTGCCCACTCCAGCCTTAAAACCTAAAGGCTTGGCATTTTTCTTCTTTGAACTTTTCGAATATTAGTATCAAAAACTGTCCGATCCTGCAGCGTCCCTGTGTACCAGCAGTGCACAGCGTCTCCCTTTTTGGGAAAGTTGGTTTTATCTCCCTTCTCTCAGAATAGATTTTGTGTATTTTGGTGGACCCTCATCTTGAGTCTCTTCAGACTTGGTTTCCTTGGGTTTTTCTTCATTGAGCTTCACGTTTTTCACTTGATCAGTCACTTTACTTATGCTTTCAGTACCTTTGAAACACTTAGTTTCAAAAAGCTGATTATGTGGGGCTGGAGAGATGGCTCAGTGGAATAAGTGCTTCCCTAGCAAGTGCAAGGGCCTGAGTTCAATCCCCGGTTCCGCCAAAAAAAAAAAAAAAAAAGCTGATTATAAGCTGTCACCAAATGATCCTTATTAGCTGTCTTAGCTATATTTTTAATGTTTCCTAATAATTTATGCCCTACAAGAAACGAATCTGAACCATGGTCCTGCAGAAACTTGATTATGTCCTTCTTGGGCAGCTGCTCGCTGCACAGCTGCTCCACGGTTCACGCCCGCTGGGGCACCATGGCCACCGTCTTCCCCTGCTGCTCCACCGCACTATCCATTCCACTTCTGAATCCTCGTCCAGCAGGAGCCCAGAGCTCTGCTGCGTGCCCATGCGGGTGCATGGTTTGGTGCAGGCTCTGTGTCTTGGGACTGGCACAGAACCAGCCAGAGAAGCCTTCAGAGGGCTCGCAGCAGAGGCTCCTGGGCTAAGTTTCTCTCTCTGCACAGGAAACCCTGCCCAGCCCCAGTGCCCCATGGCTGCTGGAGGGATTCCTGGGGCCAGGAGAGCTGATGGCCAAAGGCAGCCCCCACCCTGAGCAGAGTGGCCAGAAGCCCGGGTCACCTGTGCCTGGAGAAGGGACAGGATCCTCTAACTCGGAGACAGCTGGCCAGGACCCAGTGTCGGAGGAAAGGACCAGCACAGTGGACGATGGGAATGACGTGGGCAGCAGTGGGCCTGAGGAGGCACAGGGCTCAGGCAGCCTGGAAGGACAGCTGCCCTGCAGTGGTGCTGAAGGAACACAGCCAGACCAGGGAGCCCCCCAGGAGAATGGCACTCAGCACAGGACCCCAGAAGGAGGAGGCAGTATCACTAGTGCCCCTGTGCGCACTCCCACCTTGGCCACACTGTGTGTGAAGACCTGGGCGTCAGTCCAGGACCACCCAGGCCCCAGGCAGATACCCAGAGGGACAGGTGGGCAAGCAGAGTGCAAATGGGATGGCCCAGCATATGCCCCCCTGGGGACCACTATCATAGAAAACATGAGCACAGATGCCCCAGAGACAAAGCAGGGGATCCTGGGGGTGGCCAGGCCAGGTGTGCAGGCCGATACCACACCTTCTGCCTCTCCCATGGAGCAGACCCCACAGGGTTGTGTGTCTCTGTCTGAGAACACTGCAGGGGGCAGGGGAGAGATAGGGCCAGAAGACAAGCCCTCCAGTGACATGCCAGGGAGCCCTGCGGCCTTTCCAGCTGTGATTCTGGGGAACCAAGAGCCCGCTCTGGGTACTCAAGACCCTGGCCACCCAGAACTGGACATGGGTCCAGGCGTTGATGAAACCCAGGCACCTGTTGTGGAGTGGCCAGAAAGGGCTCAGCTTGGGGATATATGGGCAGTGGAGTCAGGCAGCCAGCACCTGGAAGGAGGCTGTGTGGGGCTCAGTCCTGTCCTCCCTGCCTTGAGTCCTCTGGAACACAGGGCTGCTGCCAGTGGCCATATCTTGGAGGCCAAGGCCCACCCAGGAAGCCTAGAAACCCCCACACCCCCACCAGACCCGCTCCAGCACCCCCTAGACTCTGCAGGCCAGGCTGAGTGGGCAGAGTCCTCAGCCATGGAGCTTGACTTCCTGCCCGACAGTCAGCTGCAGGATGCCCTGGATGCCCCCAACTTGGAAGTCCTACCTGAGCAGGTAAGAGTCCCTGTGGCAGTGACCAACCATTCCAGGGCGGGTGCCAACAGCTGCAAGACCTGTCCCCACATGCCTGCTGTGAAGGAAGGTGGGGCTCACATATGGCAGTCGTGGGTTTCAGACACAAGTGGCTGGGATGACCGGCTTGTACTACTGTACCTGGTTGGGTCACAGCTTTGATGGGTGTGACATCTGGGTTTCCAGGAAGGCTAGAGCGGCCTTTCCATAAGATTCAATGTTTATAGTTGCTAAGAGACCTGGGATTGTGACAGTGGGGTATTTTTTCCATGCTGAGACCTCCCCTACCAAAGCAAGAGCCCCTGGTGCCAGCGCCCCGTAGCTTTGTGTCCATCTGCTGCCACCCCTGGCTTCTCACCCCTGGTTCCAGGCTCCTGAAGATGTATTGAAGGCCTGGGACTAAGAGGGTGACCTGAAGAAGCAATCTAGTCTCCTCAGCTGCTCTGGGGAGGGGACTTGATTACTGACCTGGAAAAGAGCCTTTGTCCCCTAGCTGGGCATGGAATCACAAGCCTGTCATCCTAGCACTCTTGGGAGGCTGAAGCAGGAGGTGTTGTGAGTCACTTCCCTCCTGGGCAATTTAGTGAGAGACCCTGTAACAAAATAATTAAGGGTTTGAAATGTTGCCCAGTGGTAAGAGCAGGTACCTCACATGCCTATGGCCCTGGGTTCCTGCCCCAGCATGCCTCACACACAGACCCTTATCCCCTTTCTGGTTCAGATGGGGCCTGAGAATATTCTTTGGTAGGCACACAGAAGTAACCATGTTTCTCTGCTGGCATCAGGGAGGACCTTATTTTCTTTGGAGGCTGCAGGGCTGCTGTCTGCCCTTAGCTGCTGATCCTGAGCCAGGCACTTGCCTCACCTGTCAGGGCAGATGGCAGCCTGGCTGCAGCCTTATTCCCTGTGGGGATGTGTGACGCACCTGGCTGTTGATACACCTGAGCCTGGTGAATGCTTCATGGTGTACCCTGGGAGGTTGGTGTACCATTCCCACATGCAAGTGCCACCAGAAGAGGTCAGGTGCCTGCCCAAGAGGAGCTGGCAACCTAGTGTCCTATATCGGCTGCTTCTGGGACCTCAACTGCTTCTGGAACAGGAGCCCTGGGCTTCCAGACATTGGCCAGTGTCTCCTGGCTATGTGCTGGCCATCCCCAGCAAGGCTGTTTTTATACTTTTTTTTTTGGCGGAACCGAGAATTGAACTCAGGCCCTTGGGTTTGCCAGGGAAGCGCTTATTCCACTGAGCCATCTTCATGGCCCTGTTTTTATACTTTTTGCAGAGCTGCAACTGGTACCCAGGAATTTATACATGCTAGGCAAAAGCCCTACCACTGAGCCACACCCCTAGCAGACCTGTTATCCTTCTTAAAAACTCATTCAGGGGCTGGGGAGATAGCTCAGTAGAATAAGTGCTTGCCTGGCAAGCACAGGGTCCTGAGTTCAATCCCAGGTACCACAAAAACAAAAACAAAAAAAAACATTCAATGAATATTATTTTGGTGGTGTTTTTTTGTTTTTTGTTTTTTTTTTCCTCAGAACCGGGGATTGAACTCAGGCTCTTGTGCTTGCCAGGGAAGCACTTATTCCACTGAGCCATCTCCCCAACTCCTTATTTTGGTGGTTCTGATGGTTGAACCCAGAGTCTTCACACTGAACTACTGCCCAGCTCATTTTATTTATTTATTTATTTATTTATTTATTTATTTATTTATGGAACCGGGGATTGAACTCAGGTCCTTGTGCTTGCCAGGGAAGCACTTATTCCACTGAGCCATCTCCCCGGCCCTCTCATTTTTATTTTGAGACACGATCTTTCTAAGTCACTAAGTTGTCAGGGTGGGCTTAAGTTTGCACTCCTCCTGCCCCAGCTCCCAGAGTGCTGGGATGACGAGTGTGTTCCACTATGTCTGGTTTGCATGCATATGACGGAGTGCCTGCTGCAAACAGATCAGCCATGGCTTCTACCCTCTAGGGCATTCACAGTATCCCCATTCCCTAGAGTGGCTTCGTTGGGAACTTAATGTACAGTGTCATTGCTGTCCTAGAGAGGTTTTCCTAAGACAGTCACAACCGCAAGCAAGCAGTTTCATACCATGCACCTCTGAGGAAATAGCCAGCTAAGCTAGCCTGTGTGAGGTCCCAGGTTCCATTAAAACACTGCAGAAAAAGGAAGAAAGGGAGGGAAGAAAGAAAAGAAAGAAAAAAAAAAAAAAAAAACCCAGCCAGGTTAGTACAGCCAAGGCAGATAGGAGAGTGGCCAGCCCCAGTGGGCAGCCGCAGCAGCATGGTGCATGTGTGCGCTAGCTCAATGCTGGGTGTTCCAGAGCAAGTCTGGGTGGCCCCAGTGGCCCAGCCAGGGAGCAGGTTCCCATGGGAAGGGGAGGCAGGAGCAGGGACTGCTGCAAACACAGCAGAAGTGGACAGTGAGCAGACACCATGGTCTCACAGTGACCTCACCACCCAGCCAGTGTCAGGTGGGCCATGTAGAATCACCCATTCAGACCACCACAGACTCCTCACAGGGGTCTAGCACCCTCCTTAGCACTCCATATGCACCCACAGTCACTCACAAGGTGACCAGGCAGGGTATGATTCGGGCAGAACGTCCTCCTGGTGTGTGTGAGGCTCCAGGTTCCATCAGCTGAAAGGAAAGCTGATTCCCAGGGCCCTCCTGGGTTCTTGTCACGCACCGTTTATCTACAGCCAGGGTGTCCTCAGTGCTGTCAGTGCCACAGCCACAGTCGCTGGACGAGGGACATGGGGCTGTGTATGCAATCACAGAGGGGGCCCCAGTAAGGGCCCCACCTTCCCTTCACCTGGTGTTCGGGGACAGATCCTTCTCTGCTTGGGGCCGTCTCCTGGGCTGTAGCAGCAGCCTGGCCTCCACCCTGCTGGTGTGACCTTCAGATAGTGTGAGGCATCTCCCGGGGTACACAGGCTCCTCCATGTTGGTTCCCTTGGATTCAGCGTCCCTTCCCTCTACCTTAGCAGTGGACATGCTCAGAACAGGCTGCTTGCCAGGCACTCTGGGAGGCTGGTGGGGGAGGAACATGTTTGAGCCCAGCCTAGACAATTTAATAACTTAGCAAGATCTTGTCTCAAATTTTTTTTGGGGGGGGCATGCTCAATTTGCCCTGAGGGCAAGGCGTCACAGCGTGTGGTGCTGGTGCCAGAGATGGAACCAAGGCCCCCTGCACCTGCCTAGGTTTGCAGCAGGCGCTTTAGACCACTGAGCTATCTCACTAGCCCCCAATTATCTCAAAATTTTATTATTTTTTTTATTTATATTTTTTGGCAGAACTGGGAGTGAACTCAGCCCTTGTGCTTACCAGGCAAGCACTTACTCTACTGAGCTATCTCCCCAGCCCCTTCAAAATTTTAAAAGGGCTGGAGGTGAGCTCTGTGGGAAAGCCCTGGCTTCAATCATATACTCTTTTGCTTTCCCCCCAAGAAAAGCAGGATTCCCAGGCCCACTGCAGCCTTTAGGGACCCAGAACTCATCCGTCAGTGTAGGCCCATCAGGAGGCCAGGACCTGAGGGCTGGGTTGGGCAAGGTGTGGAGAAGGAGAAGCCATCCTAGCTGTCACATGTCCTGTATGTCCTTATCCATGACCCCAGTGCAGCTGAGGTGAAGGCTGCCACCTGATCTTTTCTGTGACCTCTCCCTCCAGGATGGTCCTACAGGGAATGAGTCAGGCCTCTGCAGGCCTGGCCCCAAGCCTGGTGCCAGCTGGGGAGACCGAGTCCTGGTGGCAGAGGACCAGCCAAGGTAGGCATGGGATGGGAGGGAGCATGCATTCTGGTTCTCCCTGCTGGGCTTCCGAGCAGCGGGACTTGGCTTTCAAACTGTCTGTGTCCCCCTGTGCTTCAGAATGGGACAGGTGACCAATGATCTGTACCCAGACAAGGAGCCTCAGAGCCCTTGGATGCTTCCCCCACCCCTACCCTGGGCACTGCAGCTGGTTCTGGAAAGAGGGGATCTTCTAAAAGATGGTCTCATTCTATCCCTGAGCCCCGTGGGGCAGGAAGGGATCCAGACAGTGCTAACACTGCAGGCTGGGGTAACTTGGGGCTGCTCCTAGCTCTGGCCCTAGGCAGACACTGTAGGGACCCTGACTTGTATCACCTGTCCTGGCATGCCCCCCCCCCAGATGTGTACATGGCATGTGCATGCCTTCCCTGCTCTCCAGAGGCTCCACAGTGTGACCCTCTTGGGTCTGCCCTACCCATCAGGGCTGGTAGCATCCTCCCCATTGCATGCACTTGAATTTGTCTCACCCATCAATTATTCACAGGCAAACTTGTTTCCATCCGGTGGGTATGGGGGATGGGTTGTGCACAGGCTTGGGCTCCTTTGTGCCCTCTCCTGCAGAGCAGCCACACCCCAGCCTCTATGCTTAGTTCCCTTGGTACCATTCTGTCACCAGAACACTTCCACATAGCCATTGGGTGCAGAAGGCATTTTGTGCACAGTGGCCCCTCCACATTTGCCCAGAGCAGGCAGATGTTGCAGCCTCTCTGGGCCTATACCACCCTGCTGGCCTTGGATGTCTGGGAGCCCTAAGGAGGGAGGAGCCTGGAGCCTGGCAGGTGGCCGAAGGAACACATGTGGCCTACACCCAGGCCAGCCAATGCCTCATGGTAACCAGACCAGATGTGGCAGAACCAGGATCTCTGTAGGGCCCACCAGCCTGCAAGAGAGCCACTGACAGGGCCACCTGGCTCCTAATCCTAGAGAGGCTTGATGGCAGCAGCTGGTGGGGAAGAGATTGGAAAAGCAAGGCCACAGCAGCCAGGGGCAGAATTTGGAGAGGCAGTGATGTGGAATTGGTATGGCTGGAGGGAAGATGGGGTCCCAGTGGTGTGGGCATGGGATGCCTAGTTCTGCCCTCCCAGCTACCGGTGCTGTGTGGGGCCAGGCTGCAGGGATGGGAGGTGAGGGATCCATAGGGGCTGCAGTGGTGCAGAGCCGCAGATCCCAGCTGTGCTGCAGCCTTGGGGATTGGCCCATCCCACATCTGAGGACTCCACTGAGGAGGGGAGGCTAACTTCCTGCCTTTGTTTCCTAAGGATGGAGGATGCCTCCAGCACAGTTTGCGGCCTCATCGTGGAGCTTTCTAACCTCAAGTAAGGGCTGGGCTTAGTCTTCCTGGTGTGGCAGAGGGTACAGAACTGTGGAGGCAGTGGGAGAGGCCTGGGGGCTCAGGTAAACTGAGGCAGGATCCTATACAGAACCTGTCTGGAAAGGGTGGAACAAGCCGGCGTGGCGGTGGTGGGGTTAATAGGAAACCAGGTGCACATGCAGTGGCATGGTGACTGACCTTCCCTGACAGCATATGTCCCTCCTGCCCCCAGCCGGCTGATCATGAGTGCTCATCGTGATTTAGAAGCCTTCAAGCGCCTTGGCTCCAGGAAGGCCCGGCCTTCACCCTGCATGGCAAAGGGGGCTGGGGCCAAGTCCTGGGGCGAACATCCCCGGAGGGATCTGTAGGCTTCTCTGCCACCCTTTTCCTTCAGCTCCCACCTGGTGTTTCGTTTCCAAGATGCTCCAGGAGTTCCTAGAAATGCCCCCTACCAGCTGGAAGCCAGCCTCCCAAAGACAGGGGAACCCCAGGTAGGGTGGGGCCTCCTGTGGGGGCCAAGCATAGGTAATGCTGTGAAGCCCAGAGGCAGCTGCTGGCACTCCAGGAAGTCGGTTGAATCCTGTGTCTGAGGCTTGTCTGATTTGTAAAAGGTTAGATTTGCAGTTTCTCTCCTAGAGGAACACAGGGCCCCCTTTGTTGGTTTTATCCCCCCCCCCTTTCCATTTTATTTCTTCCGGGAAGACCAGTAATAAATGATGTCGTGAGACTTGTGTTCTCTCCTTTGGCTTTCTGCCACAAACCTCTCCCTATAGTCTACTCGCCTACCTCCTCTTCTCCAACCTCACATTTTGGGGCCTCTGCAGGAGCTGTACACTATTCTGTCCCGAGCCCTAGGAGGGGTGGCACACATCCAGCTGTCTACAGCTATCCTCTGGGACTTGTGACTGGCACTTGCAGGAGCCTCAGCCAGCAAGGAGAGCCCCCTGGGTGGGCTGACTGTCTCTCCTGCCTGTGGCTCACACACCCAGTTCCCTCCTAGCTCCAAGATCTAAGGCAGGGGGATCCAGGGCCATACTCTAGTGTTCCCCAAGCCTAGCCATTCTGAAATGTGCAGTCTGGGGGTGTTTCCAGGATCCCAGAGGCCAGGAAGGAGCCCGCTTGTTTCCTTTGTCCCAGCTGCTCCCAGCTTGTGCTAGCTGTTAGCTGTCTCCAGGGGCTTACTCCCTCTCCCACCAAGCTTATTCTCCACCCCCTTCCCGGGATGCTCAAGTTCCCTTCAAATCAAGAAGCTAGACAGACTTTTGAAGCCTACTTCCTGTCTGCAGTGCTCAAACCTTGGGACTCTATGGGCTGATGGACCCCTGCAGTCAGGTCAGTCCCCTCGAGAACACACGTACACACTTCCACTACCAGACTCCATGACACATATGGAGGCCCTACTACACTGGGGACCCAAGCTGATGTAAATACTGTCTGAAGAGCCCTTTTAAGGAGGGCAGATGGGGCTGGGACTGGCTCCTGGCTCCCCCCAAAGCAATTTGCAGAGCGCTGACGAAAAAGACTTCCCACTGTGAACCTCGGGCACCAGGCTGGGGCACCTTCTCTCCTGTTGGCACTCCAGGAGACCCCAAATTCAAAGAGCATTAAGGGGTGGGACTAGGAGGTAAAGGGGTGCCTGCCCAAGCTCCTCTAGCCTCAAGGCCAAGCACTAGAAAGGTGAAGGTCGAAGGCATCTCAAGAGGTTTATTGAACTTGGGGTGGGCAGGGCCTTCAAAACCAGGGCAAGGAGGGGACGCATCTCTTGGAGTCCCGCCTCTGCCAAGATGGGTCTCTGATGGAAGCAGCGCCCTGTCTCCGCGCCATCCTCCTAGACGGACGTGGTGGGACTGCAAGCGGAGGACGAAGGTGCATTCACCTTTCCGACACCTTTGGAACCTGAAGGAGAAAAGCAGGGGGGCATTGTAGACGCAGTGACTTACGCTCCCCAAGTACCGCAGTTCCACTTGGGGCCTGCCGGGCTCAGGCGCCATCTAGGGGCCGTTCCTCAGGTCTTGTGATACTCCTGGACCAAAGCGTAGAACTTTCAACTTCAAAGGCCGTGCTGCCCCCTCGTGGCCTCCGGGCTCCGGGGACCAAGGAAGGCCTCCAGCAGTCTCTTAACTATACGGTGAGACTGCTCCTCAACCCAAAGCCCTGGAGAGACAGCAAGGGTTCCCGTGCCCACAGATACAAGGGGAAAGGGATGCCGGGCCTGGGGGTGGGGACTGGCATCCCACCACTAGGGCAGGTTGACGCAGGAGGTGGCAAGTTTCATCCCAGTCTGGGCAACTTAGACCCTGTCCCTCCCCGGTAAAAATGGGGAGAAGGGGCGCCCCGCCACTGATGTAGCTCTGCACGAATGCCTCGTTCCACCCCTAGCACTGCAACAATGGTAAAAGCTCCATAAAGCTGGAGGAGTGGACAGAGGAGCCGTCCAGACCGCCCCCCTGCCCCCATGGGCTCCCAGCCCTGTGGGGGAGGGCAACACCTGCCCTCCCCTGGGGGGCCGACTTCCACACCGCATTCTCCTTCAAAACCCCACAGACCTGATCTCCACTGCCCCTGTAATAACCTCAACAACCTGTCCTGGAGCTGTGGCAAACACAATGCCAAGGCCCGTCCAGACCGATGCACTCTGTATCTTTGCCACACTGTAGGCTGAGGAACCCCAGGTAGAGCTGGGGCAGTGCGAGGCGGACTCCAGCGATGTGCCTCATGGAGAACAGGGTGCAGCCAGCCACTGTCCGAGCCCACTCCTCTCTTCCTTGCTGTCTTGGGCTCTTCACCCAGGAGGCCACGGCAGCCTCTTCTTTCTGAAGGCTCTACACTCAGCTGCGACCCAAAACACTGCTCAACCCTCCTCCTACACTCCCTCCCTGTGGCTCCCTAGTGCCTAAGTCTGCCCCCTACCCTCCAAAATCAGGGATAAGCCCAAGGCCTTTGCGCCAAGCTACGTCCCCAACGTTTTCTAGTTTTTGAGATGTTCTTGATAAATTTCTAAATTTGGGCTTGTGAATTTGTGACCCTCTTGCTTCACCATCCCAGAGTGCTGGGATTCCAGGTGTGCCCCACCAGGCCTAGGTCTAAATAAACTTAAGAGGTGGCCCCCCGCCAGGGACCTCCTTGCCTCCCCCAACTCTGCTACCACCCCCACCATCCAGACACACACACTCTTTTTTTTTTTTTTTTTTTTTTTTTGTGGAACCAGGGATTGAACTCAGGCCCTTGCTCTTGCCAGGGAAACGCTTATTCTACTGAGCCATCTCCCTGCCCCTACACACACTCTAGCCCCGACACGCTGAACTTCATTCTGGCTTAGTCACCTTCCAGCCCTCTGACAACCACTCTGCCATCCACCTGTCCCCTGACACAACTGGCCCACAAAATATTTGGCCAGGAGCTGACAGGTGAATGCAGACTGCAGGCAGGCTGAGTAACTCCTCGGGGCCACACAGCACCTAACTGCTACTGCGATCAGGTAGCCATGTACCTGTTGGTGAACGGCAGTGCTATGCCTGCCCCACGATCTCCTAGCAGATTTACCCCACATCTGAAAAAACATGGCATTATCCCAGTGGACCCAGAGAGGGACAGCAGCTTGCCTAAGACTGCACAGCAGATGCCAGGTCCCAGGTTCCCTGCCATGGCAGCCCTTCTGGACACTGTTTTGTTGGGGTTTTTGTTTGTTTGTTGAAACAGGGTCTTGCTATGTACTAGTCCAGGTTGGCTTTTAACTATGTTCAAGCCATCCCCCTGCCTCAACCTTCCAAGTGCTGGGATGACAGGTGTGCGGCACCACCCCAACCTAGATGCTGTTTTAAACTTTACAGACACATGCACATGTGCCCTATAAGGTGAGTGCTTTGGTCACTACAGAGACCTCAAGGGGCTCCACCACCCGCCAAGTCCCCTCCACCTGGGTCCCCAGCCACCTGCACAGGCACCTGCTGTTGCTGCTGCTGTTCCTCCTCCTCGGCGGTGGTGGCCGGTGTCCTGTGTCTTCCCCTTGTCCGGCCGGGCCACCCTCTTGCCAGCTGAGTTGCGCGTGGTGTAGCTATAGACAGAGGTGTAGCCCTGGCCGGTGAGTGGGCAGAAGCGGCGGGTATGGGCACGCTCCCGGGTGGCCCCACACTGGGGACACACATAGTCACGCAGGATGGGGCACAGCACCCTGCCGGCCTCGTCTTTCAGCACATGGGACTGGTAGATGGCCCGCGATTCGCCATTGTGCTTGCAGAAGGAGCACAGCCGCTCGGGGGTGGCTGTGGCTTCTGAGTTCAGTTTCTGGATTGCTGGTTCTGGCGCCATGTTCTTTGAAAGCTCGGGCTGGGGACCCACCCTGGCCTCAGGCTCCTCTTCCCCACGCAGAGCCCCAACCAGCCGTGCCAGTCCCAGGTAGTCAGTCCACAGGTCAAAGGTGCCCATAGCTGCTGCCCAAGTGCCAGACAAGGGCAGAGGGAAGAAACCCTGCCTGGCCCAGGAGCCCCTGCCCCTGCTTCCTCCTCCTCCGAGAGCCTGCTCAGTCTGAGCTGCTGCTCCTCTTCTTTTACCTCTAAGAGGGCTGGGAGGAGAGGAGGGGCCGGGGGAGGCTCCAAAGGTTGCAGGGAGGCATGCGACCCCCCCTTACTCCATTTGCCAGGGCCACGGGGAGTCCTTGGGAGCCATGGGGACAGGATGGTAGCAGGGGGCATGCACAACTCCCACACAGGGCCAGGTCACAAGGGGAGCTGTTGCTAGCGGGAGACCTCCCCTCCAGCCTCCCCTGGGGTGATGCCCTAAAGATAGTGCTGAGGTGACCAGCAACTTAGTAATTCCTTTCTTCCCCTCAGCTCTTGGAGTCAGGCAGGCTCTGCCTCCGGCTAGCTCTGGCAGGAAGGAGGGTGCCCCTGATTCTGAGACGGGAGAAGGGGCTGACCTCTCTCCTGGAGTGTTCACACCTCCCTGTCTCCTGCAAACACACTAGGCTGGGGGGTTGAGGAGCTCAGGGCCAGGACTAGGCAGCAGGGGGGAGGGAGTGGGATGGAAACCCCTGGCGTGGGAGGGGTGGGCTGGCTTGGGCAATTAATTCTGCAGGTTCTGCTGATGGGGAGCCCTCATCACCTGCAGCCCTCAGACCCTTTCCAAACAAAGGAGACCCCAGGATAGCCTCAGGAGCTGAGCTGTGTCCAGGAGTGACCCAGCTGGGACAGACCCCTCCAGGCACCCAGATCCACATAGCACACCCAGGATTTGGTCACTGGGAAGAGGCTGACCTGCCTACACATACCATTCATCATGCCATCCATCCATCCGTCCATCTACCCATCCACTCAACTACCCATCGTCCATCCATCCTTGCACCCAACCACCCATCCATTCAAACATGCATCCATCCACCCATTATCCACTCAACCATCCACCCATCATTCATCCATCCATCCATCCATCCATCCATCCATCCTCCATAGTGCATACATAATTCATTTACCTATCTGGCCATTGAGTCATCAAAGAAAACTTTATTGAGTAAAACTCACCAGGGGCCCAGGAGATAGCTCAAGAGAATAATAAGCGCTTGCCTGGCAAGCACAGGGTCCTGAATTCAATCCCCGGTACCACAAAAAACAAACGAGGGGTGGGAGTAAAATTCAACCATGCCCTTTCAGAAAGGGGTTCTCAGGCTCTGGGTCCCTAGCCCAGGATTCCACCAAACCCAACCCCTCCACATCTAATGTGCATAGAGATCATACATCCCAAGCTGGGCCTGGTGGCACATACTTCTTATTCCACTCAGCACTATAAGGAGGCTGAGACAGCAGGGGCCCAAGTTAAGGAGCCCAGCTTTGCTAATTTAAGGACCTAACAAGACCCTATCTCAAAACAAAAAGTAAAAATAAATAAATAAGTAAAAAGAGCAGGGGATACAGGTTAGTGTTGAAAACTGTGGGTTCAACCCCCAGTACTGGAAAAAAAAAAATCACAGAACCAGCTTTTCTCCCCAGGGATGAGTGTGTGGGGCAGGGTCTGGGTGGGTTCTGTCCCCTTCCCCCCAATCTCTCCCAGGCTGAGTATGGCCCAGCCACAGTGACATTCATCCCCCGGTGGGTCTGGCCTTCGTCCTTACAACCCACCGACAACAATGAATGTTGATTGTGACCTTTGCTGTGGCCCAAGGGGTAGGGTTTCCCCAGATCTGGAAGGTGGGGCTCCGGACAGAAAGACGGCAGTTCCAGGCCTCGGGGTCCACTCAACGGTCGATGGTTTGCCTGAGTCGTCCAAACTCACCGACAGGTTGAATGTTCCCCCAAACCCTTGGCAGGGACCCAGGCCAGGTGATGGGGACACCAGTAAGTCAGTCAGCAGTTATGAACTGCCAACTTTGTGTCCCTACATCTGGGACCAGCAGGAGACAGTGGCAGGCAGTATTCAGGTGTTGGAAGGAAGCCCCTCCCTGCCCCGGGGTGCACCCCCCTTCCCCCATTGGGGGGGGTGTCTGAGATCACAGGGTCTAGGAAGGAGAGAGGAAGGAGAGATTTTTCCAGTGGCCCCAGGAAGTCTGGCAACCCTCCGGTTCTGGCCCGGGGACAAGGCTGTACTGAGAGATAAACAAGTCATTTTAATACAATGTAATGCTTTCCTGTGCTCCTGCTCAATCCGGATAAACAGCCATTTTAATACAATGCTCTCTAGGCTTTCACCTGTGCTGCACGAGGTTGTTTATGGAACACCCAGCAACCACCTCCCAGGGACTGTGGAGAGTCCTTGACTGGACTGGGACGACTGGAGGGAGGAGTGGACGGAGGGGAGCAGCCTGATCCCCGATGTCCACATCCCCTTGCTGCTTCCTCCTCTGTCAAAGGGACCCAGCCCCCCTCCAGGGGCTTCTCAAGGATGAGTACCCAGTCCTCCGTGTCCCCAAGTCTTCTTCCCAGCCAATCAGTGCCAAGGTCTAGGAACTCCTCAGGCCAAGGGTCATCTTTCCTGGTGGCAGAGTGTCTGTCTAGCGTGGGCTAGGTTCAGGGTTCCATCCCCGGAGCCGCAAAATAAATAAAAACCTTAGTCCCCGTTGCTGCACCAAAGGGCACAGTATCTCCAAAGAAAGTTCCTGGCGTGACCCCAGAGCGGATCAGGAGCCTCAGGCACACTGACATTGGGTGGACCCCAAAGTGCCCGAGTGTCGTGGAGATGTAGCACTACCGAGGTCCCTCTGCAGCCCCTGTGAGCCACCCACTGCAGCTAGTGGTGTTCCCAGGACGCTCCCTCTGCAGTGTCCCCCGAGGGCTTGGATAGGGCTGGCCCACCCAAACAACCCGCAAGGGGGACTATAAAAACCACTCTGGCCCCACAAGGTGGGGGTCCTCCTTCAGGGTACTGGCCTTCCGCTCAGGGCTTTGACCTTGTCCAGCAGAGGGAGGGAGGTTTGGCACGGGGTCCCCCCAAGCCCAGAGTCAAGGGGAACAGGGTGTGAGCAGTCAGAAGGCTAGGAGGGGCTTGGCCGGGGGCGGGGCTTCTGGCCGAGGGCGCGGTAACGTAGGGACGTGGTGGATGTGGCCTGGGCAAAGGCGGTCCCAGCCCCGCCCCGTCCGCCTGTCTCTTTGTCAGCCTGTGTCGCGCAGGCTCCCCGCCCTTCGAGTCTGTCTAGGTCTGCCTGTCTCTTTGTCCCCAGGATCGCAGTCTGAGTCTGACTGTGCTTCCTGAGTCTAACGGGGTTCCCGCGCTCCGCAGGGTATGCCCGCCTGCCGCTGTCGGAATCGGCTGAGAGCACCTGGCCTTGAACTCCCGACCTTCCCCTGTGCCGGGTGACTGTCGCTGCTCTCACACCCCTCACCCCTTCTCTGAACTCACTATGGGGACCCAGGGCTTCCAGGGGCTCCTGGGTCAGTGTCAGGCCCCGCCTAGACTCTGCCCTGTCTCCCACTTCTACCCGTGGGCACTGATGCACGGTGGCTGTCTTTCAGAGACCCACCAGAAGCCCCTTACCCCATCCCATGGTAACTGGACAGGAAGGTTGGCCTGATGCATCTGTTCTGACCAGGCATGGCATCACATGCCTGTAATCACTGCACTCAGGAGGCTGAAGCAGGAGGATCTTTTCGAGTTAAAGGCCAGCCTGGGTTATAGTGAGTTCAGGCAAGACCTCAAAAAAATTTAAAAATACTGAGTCCTGTACTGTGTGTACCAGAGTACACTTTATCTGTGTGTGTACCTGCATGTGTGTGCACCGCACATCCAGTGGAGAGGAGGCGAAGGGAAGGGTGATCAGGGCCTGGAAAACAAGGAGCCCGTTCTGGGTCACAGCCCCAGGCTGTCTAGACCAGCAGTCCAGGGTTCCTCGCTTCACAGACACCTGTGTGGCCTCTTAGGTTCCCATGCTGTCCTCCCAAGCCAGCTCTCAGGCTTCCTTTTCAGCTGTCAGGTCTATCATGTCAGCCCTCAGAAGGGGCTCATCAAGCCAGTTCAGCCCTCAGGGTGGCAGCGGACAGGGAAGAACTGGATAGAAGGCCAGGGCTGGAGGAGGTGAAGAGGATCCTGCTCCTCATGGGTTGAAGCTGGGGGCCACGGAGGAGCTGGATTCATGGGAAATTCAACCAGGCACAGTGGCTCACTCTTGTATTCCCAGCACTCTGGAAAGCTGAAGCTGGAGGACTCAAGTTCCAACCCAGCCTGGGCAACTTGGTGACTTAGCAAGATACACACACACACACACACACACACACACACACACACACACCTAAAAAGGGCTGGAGATGTACCTTAGTGTGAAGGCTGTGGGTTCAATCCCTAATACCAGAAAAAAGTAGCTGGATGGGAACACCTCTCCTGAGGCTCCTCATGCAGGGCTATCCTGACTCCAGATCAACGTGGGCTCCGTCTGCCTGTGCATGTGTCACTGGCGACCTCTCTCTGAGGGCGCTCTGCCAGGCTACTCAGAGTTCTGTGGATGTGCGGCTGGGTGTGCTCTATAGTGGGTGGCTGTCTCTGCTACAAGTGTGTGTGTGTGTGGTGTGTACACATGGGCTTCTGTTTGTGTGTGCATGTCAGTGTGCTGTGGGTGTCTGTCAGGCTAATTGTGTGTAACTGCAGGTCGATGTGTGATCCAGCATAGTAGGTGTCTAGCATCTATTGTTCTCACTGGGTGTGACAGTAATTTGTGTGTCAGCTGTGGATGGAATCACCCTGGTCCTACTCCTCACTAAAATGTCAGCTCTAGGAGCTTTGGATTTTGCCATAATTCACAGCTCTACCTCCATGGTTAAAATTGCTTGGCACAGAGCAGATGCCTAATAAACAAGTATTCTCCTCAGGAGGCTGAAGTAGGAAGATCCACAAACTGGAGGTTGCCCTGAGCAACTTAACAACTTAGCAAGATTGTCTCTAAATAATACAAAGGACTGGAGATGTAGCTCAGTGCTTGTCTAGCATATTAGAGGCCCTGGCTTCTACCA